TTTCCATACAAATTTTTGTTATTATTTGTTCTAGTTCTGTGAAAAATGCTATTGGTGGTTTGAAAGGGATTGCACCTACAGGGTATGACACTCAATGAAATAAAGCAGGAATAAAGGTGGGAAATACAAATACTATTTTATTTCACTTATATGTGGAATCTAAAAAACAAATCAAATGAACAAAGATAACAAATAGGTTTGTAGATACAGAGAAAAAATAGGAGATTGCCAGAGAGGAGTGTGGGGAGGATGAGTGAAATCAGTGAGGGAGACTAAGAGGTACAAATTTCCAGTAAAAAAATAAATCATTTAAAAAAAATCATGGGGATGAGATGTATAGCACGGGGAATATAGTCAATATTGTAATAATTTTGTATGGTAACAGTTGATAATGACTTACTACAGTAATCATTTTGCATTATATAGAAATATCAAATCACATGTTGCATACCTGGAGCTAACATAGTGCTGGATGTCAACTATACTTCAATTATAAAATAAAAATAAGTGAAAATAAGAGAAAAATGCTATGTTGATAAGATGAAGAGTAATAGTGTCTAATATATATTAGACTGTGAATAGAAAATATAAGCTAGTATTTCATCTTTTCAAGCTCTACAAATTCTCTGCTGAATTGCTATTTTTTTCCCACACATGAACAATTTGAATAGGACAGTTCACTAATGTTTCTAGAGCAAAACTGTCCATCTCTAAAGAATATTTCTTTCAGGGGTCAACTGTCTCACTGACAGGAAGAGGATTTACACATGCAAGTCCTATTAACATTAATAGGTGTTACCAACATAAATCGCCCTGTAGTGATAGGCGATAAGACCCTCCAGTCTACTAGAATTCAAGTTCTATTGATTATCTGTCAAATGGTCCCAAGAGTCATCATCACCACAAGCAGCAGATGTGGCAACTTGTATGGGAAGGGCATCTCATTGCAGCCCCATAGCTAAACTATAATAGAAGAAAAAAAGTGGTTTTCAAAGTGTGACCTGGGATGTTAAGGGTTAAACCTTTTGCATTTAAAAAAAGGCATCATTAAAGAATTCAAACATATCAAAGCACTTGTTTAAAAAAGTGTGAATACTCTGAGTTTCAACATGCTTGAAGGATAATATAGCTACTTGTTTAAAAATTCAATTAACCTTACCTTTTTAAAACTTGATTTATGAATAATTACAGATAAATTGCTAGTTTTGAAATACTGATGCTATTTTTTGAATACATCCTGTCTGAGAAGCTTTAGAAACTACCTGGAATTCACAGAAATTGTCACTCTGCTTAAATTATTTGATTCAAGAACAAATCAGTTCAGTGAATGATTTCTGCATGAAAAGAATATCAACAGTCTCTTATCTGTTGTAAGTAAGCTACTGGGGACTCAACCAGCACAAAGAAAAACATTTCGGATTCTCATTCATGAAGTAAATAAGAAAAACATTTCAGAGTCTCATACACTAAGTGAGATGGGGAAACAGTTTGCAGGTAGTGTATTGTAAAGCCATACCCCATGCCTCAGAACACTGATTTCAAACAGAATGAAGTTTGATGCTGGCATCTAGAACAGTTTGCTAAGTAAATCATACCCATGTATCATTTGATTGCCTTTTTCAAAAGCCTGGCACAGTCGGCAGATGCCTAGAAATAAAATCAAATATATAGCTGGAAAATTAACTGAGAGGTTAAATAGTAGACCAATATCAACAAATAAATCAATTTCAAGACAATCTTTAATTTCTTGGCATATATACAAAATTTTAATATTAAAAAATAGGATACCACACCTGAAAGGCATTAAAACAGACTTTATTTCCTCTGAAAACTTACTGTTACAGTGTGCAAATTATGAATAACCATATATTCATGCTTTCTGAAATGCACTTAAGAAAATCAATCAAGAGTTGAGAGAAATTATCCTAATAGCAGTAAATGTATGTTGTTATTTTTCAACCATATTAAATATTTTTAAAGAAAAAAAAGATAATTGCTTTGAAAGATCATTACTATTTAGCAATAATTTCAACAAAAATTTTTTTTGAGGTTTTTAGGACTTTAGACATACTTTGCTTTCTCCAGAACTATAGCTGTAACATAAGTTAATCATTAGCACGACCATTATTTTGGGCAAAGGGCTGCCAATCTCAGAAATTACTATTCCAGAAGTTAACCATTAACATGACCATTTTTCTATAAGCAGCTAAGTATAATAGTAGATAGGGAAATTATAACTCAGTTTTCCTGTAGAAAAATATATGTTTATTTTATATATATGTATGTATGTTTTTCTGGGCAGGCATACCAACTAGACAAAAATACAGTAGCAACATAGGGTTAGTAATCTGTTTTCATATTGATGACTAAACTGAATGGTATTATCACTCTTGGCTAATAAGCATGCATAACACAACATTTTAAACACAGGAATAACAATTCTTTGATAATAGCAATTTTCAAAATTTAAAATTAGCTAATGAAATTTCTGCATCACGTACAAACATCTAAATTTTATTAATATGACTTCAGGCTTACAGTTTTACAATAAAACCAAAAGGCTTTTCTTTAAAGCTATGAAAACAAGTATTTGCAGTAAGACAGCTGAAAAGAATGTTCTTAGAATAATTTCTATTACATTCTGAGGCAAGAGGAAGTATCTAAAGTTTTCTAACACAAAGTTTTAAACAGCTGTGTATTATCTTAATCATCACTAATGATATTCAGGAGCTTTTAAACATTTCAACAGTATTAATAAATAATCCAGAAGAGAAATTCTGATACTGGCTAATGGATGAAATAGAGTACTGTATAGATTGGGCCACAAGACCACAGAGTATCTCCTTCATTGTCCAGAAAACTGTAGTAAAGCTATCAGAATTTTCCTAGTTATTCTGGGTCTACCCTGATTGGCTGTTTACATAAGTGTGCATGATGTATCAAGAGGTCTTAACTCTAAGACTATAACAAAGTACAATATTTTAATTGGTGCAGCTTACTGCATTTGTATTCAAACTCAATGCTCTCATATAGTGAAAACTTTTATATTGCTGGTACTGCAGGGCAGGGCCAATACCCAGTGCTTATAGGTGTGTATTGTGCATTTAGCGCATGCCATAGTTGGGTTTCAGGAAATATAATTTAAGACAGATCTGAATTCACATAACAAAGTAGGTTATAATGTAATTCTATTGTCCCTGATTTGTATAACATTATAAAAAGGGAAGAGAGGGATAGAGGGGATTAAAGAGATCGGGAAAGGCTGTGCAATGGGGAGAGGGGTTAGGAGTAGCCTGAGAGGCTTGGAAGGTTTTCCTCTGGATTCAGCTATATCTGCTGAATTTAAACCCTGCTGGGGGTTTAAAAGGTGAGGCAAGAGCTACATTCTTTCCATTTCTCATGAGTCTGTGGCCTGAAAGAGCCGGCTTCCTTTGAGATCGCTGAAATCTGGAGAGGTCAAAGCCCTGCTGCAGCTGAAGAATGTAAAAACTATGTGCTTTCTACTGTAGCCATGGCTCTCTGATCAGCAATACAGGTCAGACTGCATGACAATCCACTTTTAATGAATTTATTTATTCAAATAAGTTGTTAAGTCCAAACTATTGCTCAAAGAAGGTAAACCATCAGAGCTCAGCATTTGGAAAAATTTTAATATAGGCACTCACTGTACCTAGATTTGCCGTCTATTCACAGCCCTTATATTTTTATGCTAAGTGCATATTAGGGTTTATCAATTTTCATATTCTGTTTAGAGTCCTTGGTGGTTTCAGGTCTAACTACTAGAAAAGGAATATGAAGAGTTTATAGAGTGTTTTCCTTATTAAGATTTAAAACCACAATTCTATATGTTACTTTGTTTACTTTTCTATAAGACTATTAAATACTAATTTAAGAAATAGATTTTTATTTTAAAAGCTTAATGCAATAAAAACACTATGATTTATTGTTAGGGGAAGTGACAGCAAACAATTATTTGCTGCATGAGATCTGATATTCACCCCCAAGTCAATGAGAAAATTCTGAAAGAACTTTTATTCCAGAAAAATCATTCTAAGGATAGCACTGCATATATCTTCAAAATCATTCTCATTCAGTAGACATGTAGAGAAACTGAGGTGCAGAAAGTAAACAATTTGCCTAATATTAGGCAATTTGCAAATATCATCAGTTTGCAAATATCATCATCATATTTGCCTAATATCAGCATAGCTAGGACGAAATTCGGTCAATAGACAATCAGGTTAGTGCTCCAGGTACTCAACTAGAAAGAATTTCCAAACACCAAAGGAGCCTATTTAAATCTTTCCTTCCATTTCTCTAGTACTAAGCTTTCGTAGAATGTTCAGGACTCAAATATAAATACTATTAACATTAAAAAAAAAACACTGAGTAATAGACTCATGACTTGTTTGTAAAAGTGTCTACTTTAATATAGTATCTTCAATTCTCCTCAAGATAGAGAACAAAACAAACTTCTATTTCAAACATAGGCTCCTGCTTGGATTATCACACTTTAATCTTTTTCAACTATATCTACATACACTTTCATCATTTGTGTCACGATGCTCACACCCATAGAGAAAATATAACTCAAACAATCAAAGGAAATTTGTGAGCCAATTCCAAGTATGTAGCTTTCAAGCAAAGTGGCAGGCAAAAGCTGTCCTAATACCACAGAATTACTAACAAGGCATAGGATCACTTTCATAAACATAGCTGTATTTCTGGAAATCAATCCACTTTATAATTTTTATCTGCTAATTCCACAGGTTTGGTATCTTAAAGCAGGCAAGTCAATGTGCTTTACAAAGTATTTTGTAGTCTTAGAATGTCCTCTTTAAGGAAAATCCCCTTTTGGATCTCTTTTATTGTTTTTCTTGGTAATTCCACATGTTAACTGGCTGCTGTTGTGTAACATTTTTCAAACAATTCTTCCATCAAGAAGACTCTCAGGCTAGGAGGATTTTCCACAGTGTGGTATCCAGTTTGGTATATACTGGTTATTCAGAGGGCTCCTCTGGGTTTCTCAGATTTGAGCTTTCTTTGGGAGTCTCTGAGTTGGCCTCTGGTAAGGCACTGGATTCTGAAGCCTCTGGTTGTAAACTGTCTCCATCAAGGATAATGTCTTCAGGATTCGGTGGGGGTGGACAGAAGTCTTCGTTGGGGCAGATTTGTTGGAAAAGTGCTTCAGCCTGGCCAGGGAAGAAAGGCACAATAGTTTTTGAATGCTAACAAAATGTATGAACCTTTTTGGAACAGTTTAAAAAATGAAGTATCATCCTTATAATCATTAAGTTACAGAACTTTACACTGCATACATAACCTTCTAAAATCTGCTTTCAGAACTCAAATACATTCATTCAGACCCACCCTTCAAATGTATCAGTACTTGATCAGGTGCCCAGCCAAGACTTTAAGGTCATTTATTCTATGTGTCAATAGAAATAAAATTTCCTTTAATATTCTTTATATAATTTCTTAATAGAGATTATCTGTGATATCTGTAGTCTAATTTAGCATATACCAATTTTAACAACTGTTCAAATCAAGAACATTCTTCATTGTTCAACTATTTGCTTTTCTAGTTTTCTTCCCTCTGTGCTTTGAGAAGTATTACATAATCCAAGACTATGGACTCTGAATAGAAAACCATGACAAATGCAGTAGTGATGTGATCTAGCTAATGTTTAATTAGCATCTGAGCCTTGCTCTCTTTGTCTACAGCATAGAAGACAGTAAGCTTCTTTATATGGTAACTGTTATCACTGTTATTAATAATAACAGAAATTAAAATGTCGAGATATAAGCTGAGCTTAGTCTGGTAGGTTAAGAGAGTAAGAAAGTAAACGTGATCTTAATTAACAACAAATAGATACACACATACAAGAAAGTAAATGTGGCAAGTAGCATTGCTATTCTATTCTAAACATATTCCTAGCTTTATTTAGATGAATACACTTCTTTGTTAGATAGGGGTCCCTGCCAGGTTAGGTAGCTTGCATGCTACCCTACTGGTAAAAGAAAGTCATTAAAGGGTTTTAAGATATATGCTTGTTTTGCTTTAAAGTTTACAATGTCTGTCTGTACCACTTCAACCCTCCGTCCCAATGTACACACAAGGTCATCCATTAGGCCAGGAGTTGACAACTATGGCCCACAGGCCAGATCCAGCCTGTTGTCTGTTTTCATAAATAAAGCTTTATTGGAACACAGTCACTCTCCTTTATCTATCTATAGCTCCATTTGCACTGCTATGGTGGAGTCAAGCAGCTGCAAAATACACTGTATGGGTTGCAAAATCAAAACTATTTGCTAGCTGGCCATCTATAATTGCATACTCCTGCATCCAGTACATAGAACAGTTTCTTTCCTTCTTAAGTATAATTCAAGGGTATATTTTTGGACCTGCCATTTAACTATGGTTATTTTCAAATTAAATATTTGAAATGCCTGCTTTGCTTGCTTCCACCCAGGGATCACACCTTTGCTGGAGACATTCAGTCTCTAGAAACAGGAGGACTGGTGTCAGACAGAGCCTCTACCTCACACTTTAGTTACTCTAACAGTCATTTTGTCTTTTATCTCTATCTAGTGTACCTGAAGAAGTTCTTCTTCCCCTTTAGTCTCTGGATATAATCACCAAATCCTATTGATTTTATCTCTTAGTTCTGGACTCCATCTGTTCTTTTCCTAGAGACACAGCCCAGACATGCACCATCTTTCCCTGGGATGCCTGCAACATCTCAGAACTGGACTAGTCACTTTGCCTCTAGGATTTTCCTGTGTAATCCATCTTTATGCTGCCCTCAGAGGGGTCAATGGAAAATGAAATTCTGTTTATGCCTTGTGCTTAGTCACTCAGTAGTGTCCAACTCTTTGCAAACCCATGGACTGTGCCCCGCCAGGCTTCTCTGATATGGGAACTTCCAGGCAAGAATACTGGAATAGGTTGCCATGCCCTCCTCCAGGGGATCTTCCCAACCCAGGGATCAAACTCATGTCTCCTTTGTCTCCTGCATTGCAGGCAGATTCTTTACCTGCTAAGCCATCGTGTTCTGGCTTAAAACTCTTCTAATAGGATAAAAATCCAGGATGATTATGGTGAACAAAACTCTTCAGGCCTATGTTCTCTGGTCTCATCATCTTCTACTTCACCCCATCTCTGCCTCTCAGATTTTTTGCTACACACTATTACCTGTTTGTTGGAAGCTTCAACAGTACGTGTACTGTCAACTTCCAAATGTTCAAGCTGGATTTAGAAAAGGCAGAGGAACCAGAGATCAAATTGCCAACATCTGCTGGATCATCAAAAAAGCAAGAGAGTTCCAGAAAAACATCTACTTCTGCTTTATTGACTATGCCAAAGCCTTTGACTGTGTGGATCACAAAAAAATTTAGAAAATTCTTCAAGATATGGGAATACCAGACCACCTGACCTGCCTCCTGAGAAATCTCTATGCAGGTCAGGAAGCAACAGTTAGAACTGGACATGGACTGACAGTCTGGTTCCAAATTGGGAAAGGAGTACATCAAGGCTGTATATTGTCACCCTGCTTATTTAACTTATATGCAGAGTACATCATGAGAATTGGCCACCTGATATGAAGAACTGACTCACTGGAAAAGACCCTGATGCTGGGAAGGATTGAAGGCAGGAGGAGAAGGGGATGCCAGAGGATGAGATGGTTGGATGGCATCACCGACTCAATGGACATGAGTTTGAGTAAACTCCGGGAGTTGGTGATGGACAGGGAGGCCTGGTGTGCTGCAGTCCATGGGGTCAGAAAGAGTAGGACACAACAGAGCGACTGAACTGACTGACTGATTTCTTAAGCATATTATGTTTATATCCTAGGCTGGTGCAAATGCTATAATGTATGGAATGTTTCAATTTGACTGTCTTCCATTTGGATGAAGAATTGCTACTCATCTTTTATATCCTTCTGTGTAAGGTTCTCTGACTCCTAGATAGAACTTGTGGCTCCTCTATATTACCTTTGTACTTTCAATATCATTCCTTTTTTTAAAATCTATTCTTTTGTTTGTTTTATTTGTTTATGGCCTTGCCATGCAGCATGTGGGATATTAGTTCCCCAACCAGAGATTGAACCTGCACTCCCTGCATTGGAAATGCAGTCTTAACCATTGGACCATCAGAGAAGTCCCTCAATATCATTCTCTTATTGCATATACCACACTGCAATGTCATTTGTTTACATGTTTTTCTCCTTTACCAGACAGTGATTCACCTAGGAATGATGACTAGGTTTTAATTAACTCTGAATCCTTAGTGCCAGGCATGGAATAGAATCTCCCTCTCTCTCTCTCTCTCTCTCTATATATATATATATATATATGATGTATGCATATGTATGTACATATATGTAATGTATGTTATATTTATATGCAATATCTGTACAATACAGTTTACACACACACACACACATAGCTATACATGTAAGTATATATATATAAATGGAAGAATTTTAGAAACTGTATATTGTGCAAATATTGAATATAAATACAATAATTATTATTACTCTTTCTTTTACTTCTACTCCAGTTCCTCTGTATCTTACACCTTGTCTCTCTTTTGCCACCTCTCTATAGGATAGATTCCCCTGAACCCCAGTTTCCATGGCTGGATCCCACTCAATCTGTTTCTGTATATTCCTGTCACGAACAACGTGTGTCCTAAGACTGCCAAGCAACTACAGGTTTTGCTGTCCTGCCCTTATTTGTACTCTACCTGATGTGGAAATCCCCCCTTAGCCCATCTGCCACGGGCCCCTGCTGTTGCCAATTTCCCATGGCCAAACTCCGGCCTTTCCCAAGCCTCTCCTCTCTTTCCAACTGTTGGAACATTTTAGGGCCAACTGTCACTTTCTGGAAGGTCTTTCTGGAAGCTTCTTGGTGTGCTTCATTTTATTTGCCAACTAAGCCACAATTCTGAGAGTTATACAAAGAAGTTGGTTCAGAGTACTTAGCTGTCAACTTTTAATCTTCCTCGTCCTTTTAAAGCCAGGAGTAAGCTTAAAGGGTAATGCTTTCATGCAGTTAAAATAATTAAAAAGGGCTAATTGTATTGTGACTTAGTTTCCTTATACTGGGAAGTACAGAGAAAACAAGCTGAGTAATTTAGATATTCCTAATGTTTATTTAACATTGTGTGTGTTAGTCACTCGGTCGTGTCCAACTCTTTGTGACCCCATGGACTGTAGCCTACCAGGCTTCTATGTCTATGGGATTTTCCAGGTAAGAATACTGGAGTGGATTGCCATTCCCTTCTCCAAGGGATCTTCCTGACCCAGGGATCAAACCTTGGTCTCCTGCATTGTAGGCAGATCCTTTACCATTTGAGCTACAAGGAAGTCTAAAAACAAACAGATATTTTGTCAATCTAGCAGTTTAATGTATTTAGGATGCATCTACATTAACAAGATGAAAGCACTGTACACTACATGTGTGTACAAGCAGTGGGGTCCAACAGACCTGAGGTTAAATCTTGGGTCAAAATTTATCAGCTATATGATCTTTAGCCAAGTTATTTAGCCCCTTTGGGCTTTAATTTCCTCATCTGTAAAATGGGGATGCAATAGATACTTACCTCATAGGGTTGTTGTGAGGACCAAATCAGATAATATATATAACATGATTAGGACAGTGCTTGGTATATAGAAAATGCACAATAATGGAAGCTTCAGGAAATATGACACCTAAAATTGCCCTCTCCCTCAATAGCTTGAGAAAGTAAATGCTACTGCACTATGTGAGCAACTTGACAGTTCTTATAACCAAGAAAGCTCACCTTCAACTTACAAACTATGTACCAAAAGTCATAAGCAATTTTCTGATCTCTCCATACAAACAACATTCTAATGGTGGTTATACTGCCAGTCCAGCATCAGCCAATTTAACCCATTTCACACCTGAAGTATAATACGGAGTATAGCACTATTTAACTATTCTTGTTCCTAAGGCAGTGGCAGCTCCAAGGCAATGGGGACTCCTGAAAGAGGAGTGAGCTATCACTGCCTTGGGAGTATAGACCAGTAGGGACTACAGACCAGTCTATTTATCAGTATTCCTCATATAAGAAAAGAAATATCTATGTGAGGTTCAGAAATAAAATAGAACATAGACCACAAAACCAGCAAGTCACAGAAATAATTACATAATTGGGAATGTCTTGGTATGCTCCTGCATACAACTTTAACTTGTGAATATTAAACACAGATTACTTCCTATTTTTAATGTCTTCAAATCATAGCTTCAAATGAACACAAGGGAGACAGGTTTGTGTTATTCAACATCTATACATTTACAAATAAGAACAGCAGATGCAAACTTGACAAATAGTAAAATGAAGCATTTTACTTAAAAAAAAAGGAAAAAGGAAATCTCCAAGTGCTTATGTTCCTACACGGGCAAAACTTAGGTGATATTCTGAGGGTTTTATAAACAATTTGGAAGACAGAAGTCACCAATTAGCATTTGGGATGAACACGGTGTAATATACTAAAATTAGAACACAGTTTATCTGAATAAACTGGCTATTTTTAAAAGTTATTATTGATGCCCTTTAATGTAGGCATTATAATATTTCTCCTAAAACTTATTTGAGGTTAAAAGCTATATAACAAATATAAGCCTACTTATAATTAATAGCATATAATAATTAGCACCCAAACTAGCATTATTATTGTTTTCTTCTGTGGTAACATTGTACTCAAGTCTATCTTCTTGGGAAGCAAATTACCTCATGATAAAATTATCCTTTAATTATAATCTTCTAGTTTACAGCTTAGATCACATTAGCACTTCTATACTAAGTCCTTATTTAAAGCCTTTCATTTTGGTTAAAAACATTAAAGTTCACTGAGAAATAAAGTTATCTGGCTGATAACTTGTTGGTAATTTCTGCTTGGGAAAAAATGGAACATCAAAGCAAAAATGATCTGGCCATTTTAAGCCATAAATGTAGATATTGAACTATTCTGGGTTCCTATTAAACTAACAACAAAAGATGGATGAGAGATGTGACTTCCTGTTTTTGTTTGTTATCATTGACTAAATCTGATTATCCTGGATTACCATTAGACTTTGGGGATTAAAAACAAAGAATCTGGCAAAAAACTGTAAATGTATGGGTCATGGCCTTGCTGCTATGCTGAAAAATTAGATTAAAAGCTTAAAGAAGCCATTTGGTTCTATAAGATCCTTGCCACTAGTGGGAATGAAATTTCCACCTGTAGTCTTAGAACAATGTTAAATTATCCATTTATTGATTCAATAGATAGATGCACTAACTATACTGGTGAAAAGTTTAGACTTACACCTCAAAAACAGTATTTTCTGCTCTTCTTTTTCAGTCAAGTGCAGAAAAGTATATTTGTACATGCATATGAATTTTCAATTTGTAGAGTCATAATTCACTTTTGGCATTTTGTGTCAGCTACCTTGTACCTCTATAGCCTTGTCCAGGAGTGCTATCACAAATTCCACCCTGATTTAACATACTCCTCAGCAGTTACTATAGTAGCTTTGGGACACCAGCTTGTGTCAAAACATTAAAGGAATCATGTGCATTGTGAAAAACTGTATGTTCTTTTCCATGATAAGAATGTGCCTTAAAAATGCCATTTAAAAAACACATTTTGTGTGCCTTACCAGTTACACTCCTTTTGAAATGACTCAAGTTTAAAGAGGAAAAAAGTTCATGTATTTCAAAATACACTGAAAGACCACAATTTAAATTAGAAGCAATGTCTCTTTAGAATATTGGCATTATAAATTCATTTTCTGGATATGTATTTCTAAGAACTTCTATCCTTATTCCCACAATGGAACTCATAAACAATCTCTTGTATTTCATCATTATATTCAAGACCATGATAATATTTGATACTACATTTAAAATATATTTAATGTGGCTTTGTTGTTCAGAGAGAAAATGTTTAGGAGCAAATTACAGAGATGCTATTAAATGGGAGAGATGCTTTTTTAGTCTCTTTTCCCACCTCTTAGAGGAAAAAACAATTCACTTTCCCTACCACACCAACTTCTTAATCTAAAACTGAGAAAGACCAATAGCCTTACCTGTTTGACTGCATTATCATTTCCTAAAGCACAGTCTGGGCCAGAGCAGACATAAACGTTGGATGGTAAATCATTATAAGAGTTCCTGCTGACATCTGAAGAATCTCTCATATTGAAGTAAAGACCCCACAGAAGTCTTGGCTTTTCAACTTCTTCATTTTCTAAATGTAAACATAAATTTTATGTATATCTAAAGCACAGCATACCTCTCAATTACTATAATATGTAGCCAATTACTAACAAAGCTGTAACTATACATTGTAGTAAATCAGAGCTTTGTATTTCAACAAAAGTATATCTGCATACACATACTCTAATAGACGTATACAATATTTCAAGTAATGATGGCTTTTCAACCTAAGACAAGATAGATTTAAAATTTATTTTGATTATCAGTAAGTTACTTAGATTTAACTCCAATCACATTTCCTTTGACTTTTCTTATTTGTCATCACCAGTATCAAAGTGCTTATGATCATATTCATCTTTAAATTATGCCAGTGAAGTGAGAAGTAAACATAAACTGATTTTCTTGTTTCACATGGATAAACCAACTTAAAATATTATAAAGTCAATACTATACATAGGATTATGAGATGATCAGAATAGAGAAATCTATAGACAGGGAGTAAGGAAATTCCCTGGCAGTCCAGTGGTTAAGACTCGGTGCTTTCACTGCTGTGCCCCAGGTTCAATCCCCAGTTGGGGAATTAAGATCCCATAAGTGCATGCCACTTACCTAATAAAGAAAACATATGCAGTAGATTAGTGTTACCTTCAGTTGGGGAGGAATTGATGGAAAGTACAGGTTAAAGGCATTGTATAGGAGACAGGAATCAAGACCATCCCCAAGAAAAATAAATTCAAAACAGCAAAATGGCTGTCTAGGAGGCCTTACAAATATGTGTGAAAAGAAGAGAAGTGAAAAGTAAAGGAGAAAAGCAAAGATATACCCATTTGAATGCAGAGTTCCAAAGAATAGCAAGGAGAGATAAGAAAGCCTTCCTCAGTGATCAATGCAAAGAAATAGAGGAAAACTATAGAATGGGAAAGACTAGAGATCTCTTCAAGATTAGAGATACCAAGGGAACATTTCATGCAAAGATGGGCTTAATAAAGGACAGAAATGATAGGGACCTAACAGAAGCAGAAGATATTAAGAAGAGGTGGCAAGAATACAAAGAACTGTACAAAAACGATCTCCACGACCCAGATAATCACAATAGTGTGATCACTCACACTCACCTAGAGACAGACATCCTGGAATGTGAAGTCAAATAGGCCTTAGGAAGCATCACTATGAACAAAGCTACTGGACGTGATGGAATTCCAGTTGAGCTATTTCAATTCCTAAAAGATGATGCTGTGAAAGTGCTGCACTCAATATGTCAGCATATTTGGAAAACTCAGCAGTGGCCACAGAACTGGAAAAGGTCAGTTTTCATTCCAATCCCAAAGAAAGGCAATGCCAAAGAATGCTCAAACTACCACACAGTTGCACTCATCTCACACGCTAGTAAAGTAATGCTCAAAATTCTCCAAGCCAGACTTCAGCAATACATGAACCATGAACTTCCAGATGTTTAAGCTGGTTTTAGAACAGGCAGAGGAACCGGATATCAAATTGTCAACATCTGTTGGATCATCAGAAAAGCAAGAGAGTTCCAGAAAAACATTTATTCTGCTTTATTGACTATGCCAAAGCCTTTGACTATGTGGATCACAATAAACTGTGGAAAATTCTGAAGGAGATAGGAATATCAGACCACCTGACCTGCCTCTTGAGAAATCTGTATGCAGGTCAGGAAGCAACAGTTAGAACTGGACATGGAATGACAGCCTGGTTCCAAATCTGGACAGGAGTATGTCAAGGCTGTATATTGTCACCTTGCTTATTTAACTTATATGTAGAGTACATCATGAGAAATGCTGGGCTGGAGGAAGCACAAGCTGGAATTAAGATTACCAGGAGAAATGTCAATAACCTCAGATATACAGATGATACCACCCTTATGGCAGAAAGTGAAGAGGAACTAAAGAGCCTCTTGATGAAAGTGAAAGAAGAGAGTGAAAAAGTTGGCTTAAAGCTCAACATTCAGAAAACTAAGATCATGGCATCTGGTCCCATCACTTCATGGGAAATAGATAGGGAAACAGTGGAAACAGTGTCAGACTTTATTTTGGGGGGCTCCAACATTACTGCAGATGGTGATTGCAGCCATGAAGTTAAAAGACGCTTACTGCTTGGAAGGAAAGTTATGGCCAACCTAGATAGCATATTAAAAAGCAGAGACATTACTTTGCCAACAAAGGTCCGACTAGTCAAGGCTATGGTTTTTCCAATGGTCATGTATGGATGCAAGAGTTGGACTGTCAAGAAAGCTTAGCGCCGAAAAATTGATGCATTTGAACTGTGGTGTTGGAGAAGACTCTTGAGAGTCCCTTGTACTGCAAGGAGATCCAACCAGTCTATCCTAAAGGAGATCAGTCCTGAGTGTTTATTGGAAGGACTGATGCTGAAGCTGAAACTCCAGTACTTTGGCCACCTCATGCGAACAGTTGACTCATTGGAAAAGACCCTGATGCTGGGAGGGATTGGGGGCAGGAGGAGAAGGGGACCACAGAGGATGAGATGGCTGGATGGCATCACCAACTCAATGGACATGAGTTTGAGTAAACTCCGGGAGTTGGTGATGGACAGGGAGGCCTGGCATGCTGTGATTAATGGGGTTGCAAAGAGTCAGACACGACTGAGCGACTGAACTGAACTGAAGTGAATACAGAGTGTAGTATACAACAGATATTCAACGAGTAATTCTTTTTTTTTTAACGAGTAATTCTTGAACTAATTTTAATTGTTTTCAGGTACAATCATAGTATGATATTTTTATTAAATGTTATTAATCTCAATAACTAAAGCCTATTCCTTGCTTTCAAACTGTGAAATGATGCTTCCAAAATGTAGTGATGGAGAAGACTCTTGAGAGTTCATGGACAGCAAGGAGATCAAACCAGTCAACCTTAAAGGAAATCAACCCTGAATCCTCTTTGGAAGGACTGATGCTGAAGGTGAAGCTCCCATACTTGGCCACCTGATATGAACAAATGACTAATTGGAAAAGACCTTGATGCTGTCCAAGACTGAAGGCAGAAGGAGAAGAGGGGACAGAAGATTAGATGGCTGGATGGCATCACTGACTCAGTGGGCATGAACTTGCGCATACTCTAGGAGATGGTAAGGGACAGGGAATCCTAGTGTGCCACAGTCTATGGGGTTGCAAAAAGTCAGATATGAGTTGGTAACAGAACAACAACATTATTTGCTATCTTAATAATTATTTTTATGCCCCTCCTCCTTGGAAATGTTATAATTACATTGTCTTTGGTTGAAAACAGAAAACATTACTGTTAAATGTATTTATTGACTACAGTGTTTTCTTAGCCCGAATTTGAAGAAAAACTCAAATTCTGTATAATGGTATAATGGATGTATATGACAATTATCCAAGACCATGAGGCACTATGGGAATCATAAAGAAAATTCTAAAGGTATAATTATTTAGTTAATTAAATCTTATTTGTTAATTTATAATCAGTGTATAAAAGTTAGCTAATTGTAGTATTCAGTTAAAAAGAATGTCCCATCCCCCAATTCAGGACAAACAGGCATTTATTATACTTAACTCAAAATATCTCCACTATAAGAATACCAAATATGTTCTTTTCCTTGTTCATCCTGAATAATCCATAATTATTAATGTGATAGGACACAGAAACTCTGGATGAAGCGATTCTTTAAGATGTTCATTTTTAATGCCAAGATCTATGAGTCTAAGGTATCACCAGCTTTGTGTAAGCACACAGTAGATGGCAAAGACTACTTACTAACAAAATAAAGGAACATAAGATACTCATATTTCACAGCTAAAACCATATGGCTCTTGGTAAGTTTATTGGTGAGTTTAGTTTCATTAAATGTTACAGAAGATAATTAAACATAGCGCCTATCACTTGTGAAACCAGACTCTAGGAGCACTGAAGAAAAGTGGGCTAAGATCTGGAAGTCCCTTAATATTGCTCATTCCATTTCTAAGCATATACTAAGAGAGCTTATCTTATATTTTATGAAAGTTCCAGCTCAGAGGAGGGCTTTCACTCAGTACAAGTTGGGGAAAATGAATAATCCAATCAATTTAGGAAAGAAATTTCAAAGAGGTTGAAGCTTTGAAAAGAAACCAAGAAGATGAAAAGTTAACATAGGCTGAAGATAAATGATCTAGATACAAGGGACTTATTGGGCTTTGACCTTAAAAGCCTGAAAGAAACATATAATTGCTTCATCTTTCTTTTAGGCCAGCTTGAAGGCAGAGAGCTGGAAAAATAACATGCAATTGTGCAGTGCACAATTGTCAAAAAATATTAAAGCTGCCAAGGTTTGGATAGGAATACATCACTTGGCCAGAAATAGAATTGGTTTTCTGTAAAAGCTCATTTCATTCAATTAGACTGTACAAAGACTAAACAAGGAATAGGTAATTTAGAATAAAATCTTGCACAAATTAAACTGAGGCAAGTACAGAATAAAGTAGCCCAAAGAAAATCAACAATGGCACACCAAATAAAAGCAACAAATAGTCTACAGTTGCATGTCATGTTTAGGGAGAGAGTGAATTACTTTAGCAACATAGCTAACATGAGACCAAGACAGTAGGAGACTACTACAGATACCACCTAGACTGAACACAGCAAATACAAAAAGGAATTAAGATAAGGCATTTGACTTCTCAGTCCAGCAATTCTGAATACCCTCATCAGCCACCTTTTTCAAAATGACATCTATAAGGGGAATTCCTGTTTTTAGGCAGTGCTGCTTTTTGAGATAGGAACTGAATGAGATGGAATGAGGTAACTCCACACGTTGTGCCCAATGGAGGGAAAAACAGAAAGAAGATGGTACAAGTCATGATACTACACTGCACACATTTGAAGATACTGTACTAATGAAATTCCTGCTTCAGTTTGTATGGAAAAGTATTAATTTTCTGAGTAAAATAAGTAATACTTAGGAAAATTCTACCAGTGCTTAGAAGGATATTATGGAATCTAGGGACTTCCCAGGTGGCACTAGTGGTAAAGAATCTGCCTGCCAATGCAGGAGATGCAGAAGATATGGGTTTGATCCCTGGGTTGGGAAGAATGCCAACCCACTCCAGTATTCTTGCCTGAAAATTCCATGGACAGAGAAGCCAGGTGGGCTATAGACCATGCGGTCGCAAAGAGTCAGGCATGACTGAGTGACTGAGCATGCACGCATGCATGGATTATTGAAGAATTAATGCACCTATGAATGGTGAGCAATCACCTCATTTTCTCACTCATAGAATCAGGTTTATTAAGCATAAAACATCTGAATGTCCTTGCACTGTGAAGCAGGGAAGAATTTAGAGATCTCTGATGTTCTTAAAGGAGCCTGGGAAGTAGGGCTCTTGGAAGTATTACTACAACTGCTTCTTTAAGGCATAGCATATGATAAGAGCTCCAGCTGAAACCTTAAACATGAACAAGGAAGAAGGAGAGAGAATAGAAGGTATACCTTCACAAGGACACTGAATTTTTCAGATACAAAGGAAAAGAAGTACTGTGTTTGAGAAGAGAACATTACCTTTTACAATAAATAAACTTCATTAAAGTGACTAGGCTGACTTTCACAGAAGCTTATGAAGCACAACTCTACACAGAACATAGAACTTGAATAAAAAGAAAATAAGTTTAAATAATGTTATTCTTCTGGTATGCATTTTAAGACACAATATTTATAAAGCTCTAAAGCATAAGGTTTCATATCATTGTCAGATAATTAAAACATTAACAATACAAGCCACCAATCTGTGAAAACAGGGGCTTTTGCTACAGAGAATAATGTGCTTTAATGTATTAAAAGTTCATATTGTTCATAAAGTTCCTTCTTCCTCATTTAGGCAGGAAAATGAATTGAGTTCTCTTCTCCAGGTGACTTTGCCTCTTTGACCTGCCATGGCCCAGTGCTCACTTTATCTGGTGATTCATTTTCAATAACTCCAACAGTATTTGTTCTGACATTTTAATTAAAATATGACCACTACCTCATCCTGATGATAAAAAGGCCTATGTGTCAGTGAAAACTAGCTTTTCAGTGCCTCAGTGCACCTGACGACCCCTCTGAGCACATAGTTCTTACTGAAGAATTTCACTCAGGTTCTGAACAATACATCATTTCAAAATGGGATCACATTAACCATTAAGATTAATGTTTAAAAATCTAAAATGGCTAGAAGATGCTAAGGAATGAACATGTAATTTCCCCATTTTGACTTTAAAAAAAGAAAATTATATGCATTTATAAAATGAAGAGCAATGACACAAGACTCAAATTTAGTGTATTATTTGAGACCACCACACAATGAAATTACAAAAAAATTATGAAAAACCTCAGAAAAAAGAAGGAATTCAGAGTTTTTATAAGCAAGGTAATTAAAGCCAAAGATAAAACTGATTTCATATTACAGTTAAGAATATTATTGTGTACCATAACTCTGCAATCAAATTTTTAACAATAACACTAATATTTATATGAGATGTTGAATTAAAGAAAGTAAATATGGAATAAATTAAATTCTAAACTAAAGTGAAATAAATTTTCAGGTTTCAGGATTTGATTCAGGCAGCTCAAAATGAAATTAATTATATTTATACTAGCTCCTCAGAATGGATCAGTTTGTTTTCCTATGTAAATGCCCCTTTATGCACTATCTCTGCAAAGAAAACAAGTAAGACACACAGGAGATGAACTAAAAGGAAACACAATAAGTAGGGAGTAAATAAATTGTTGCCTGAACAAACACAGCATTCAAAGAAAATGAAGACATATGAATCAATGAAGAAACTGGCCAGAATTCAACTGGACATGCTAATCCTATAAAGAAAATCACCATCACTTCATATAAATGAGTAAGATCCATTAGGCTACATTTTGATCAATTATACACAAGATTCACTACAATTTGCTCCATTCATATCTATAAGAACTACCCTATGATGTGGGGAGAAAAGTTATAAAATTTATGGCTGAAAAGCATTTTTCCACCATGAGTAAGTAGCAAAGTGATATACATATATTTTGAAAGCTAAATATCCCATCACTAACATACTATACATTAAAAGACAATTATTGGTCAGGAAGGATTCCTGCATTTGCCAATTAACAGTTTAATCTCTCAGTCGAACCAAGTTTTTTTTCTTAATAAATTAAGAAAAGTTGTTCTGATAAAGGAATATAAGCTTGCTGTACAACATCTATAAAATAAAGAAAATTTAAAAAAATTACCTATTTCACCAAGATTGACAGATTTCCTGACAGTCTTTTTCTATGCAAGTATCTACACATATAAATGTATAATTTTGCACTTAATATATACATTGTGTGTGAGATGTATATTTTCCTTTATCCTTACAGACACTACCCCATTTTTAGGAAGAGAATATGATTAATCATCCTAGTAAAACATATAAGTACTGGTGCTGAATACAACATATTTCAGTTCAGGCTACAGAAACCTTCAAGATATCTCTAAGAAGAGTAAAGCAGTCACATTACCTTTCCATCATGAATCACTGATTATGGTTCTTACCTATCTCCGTTTCGGTATATGGAGTAAACAATTTCTGCACAACTGGTTCTAAATCTTCTCTTGCTGTTTTAGAAGATGTACAAGTCAAATGAACCAAATCTGTTTAAAAAAAAATATTTTGAGTTCCTGCATATCACAAATTTTACTGTGTACTAATATTCAAGGCACTAAGCTGGTGCCATGGGGGAAGAGAGTCAAGTAAGTCATGGCCCCTGCCTTTAAGAAGTTTATAATCTAGTGATGGGGATATGTAAAAACCAAAGCAATAGGCTATGTGTGTTAACTGTATAGCGAAAATACATGTTAACTAAGAGGGAGCATATTGAGACTCAAGAAGTACCAGTGGATGGTTTTGTAAATCAGCACAGTAAAAAAGCTTAGGAAACCATGTGTTCATAGAAAGAGCCTAAGCTATCCTTAAAACAGTCCCAACGAGTGTGGATAAAGGATTGCTAAGCAAAATATTGTATAAAAAAAAAAAAGATTAAAAGTGGCCTATCTATTTACTTTAGAGAACACACTTCATATTCTTCAGACTGAAAAGACCATTTATGCCAACTTTACTGATAAGTTAAGAACAAATCATCTATTCATTATAGGGTTCTCTAAGAAAGTTTTTGGGGAACACTGTTAGCTTAGTTTAAATCATACATTTTATACTTAAAAGTCTATAATATGGCACCAGTCAAAACGGTCTGTAATATTTTCAGGATTTCCAAATCATTCTGTTTTGCATTTACAGATTCATGAAGCCTAGACCTCAAAGAATGTTTGGGTTAGAATATCATGTACAAAAAGGCCCTTCATAGAAGTGAAATACTGCAGCCTAAGGCACTTAGAATTCCTAAAGGCCTACATATTAATACATAGGGTAAAGGAAGGACAAAAGGGTCTATGTACTGAAAGGAAGAACTAAGGGGATCCCTAAATGGGAGTAATTCTTTGGTTCTGGAAAGGGCTTAGGGCAGAACAGAACTATGGAAGAAAAAAATACATATTAGAGAAAAGTATAAGAACTGAGACATTCCTGCTCCTAAAACCCTAGTAGAGAAGTATATGTGTTTCTTTTCTAAAAGTTTACTTTAGGCTAGTAGACTTTTTTAAACCTCAGGAAGATAGTTCAAAGTTTACAATAGAAGTGTAACATCAGAATAGAATTCTCTTTAAATATATCTAAGCATAGAGGGACTTTTAATAACCGTGTGAGCTAAAATCAAATTTTGTAGTATTTTTTTCCTGGTTTACCAACTAAAGTGATATTCTAAGGAAGTTCCTGCTTTATGTATGGCCAATGAAATACCCATCTTATTTAAGCAATGTTTTTATATGAATGTAGTAATGATTCCCATTGGTTCTGGGATATTGACAGATATATGGTACTAATTACTTAAAAAGGTAAACAACCTTCACAACAAAATTATTTGTAATGAAATTAAAATTTTCAACTGTTATATAACTTTGGTGGGAAGTTTAAATTCCCTAGATAAATTATTCCTAGATAAATTCTGAATTAAACAGAATATATAACTATAAAGGTAGAAATCTCTGATGTAACACTCAACAGAAATTGTCCTGTCTCTCATCTCAGTCTCACAAAATACTAACATTCACATCAAAGTTTTCAATTTTCCAATTCTTTCCTATTCAATTAATGTGTACTAGAGGAAAAGCAGGTGAATATGAATATAAGTTAAAAAGTATATTTTAAAAAATATCTTAATAGTAAACTACTAGTTTTGTAAATCAGGGTATATAAAAGAAATACACCAAGTAACTATATCCTTATGTTTCCTAACAATGTAAGAGAGTTCAGTTCATGCAATGATAGCAAAATTTTCTAGCAATAAAGTCAGATTAGCATCTTGTACTTAACAAGTTTTATTACAATTCTAGAAGACAAAATTAAAGACACCCATAATTTGAATGCTAATATATATACCTTGATTCTGCTTAGATGCTACATTATTATTAATAATTGATTTATAATTTTAAGGTATGAACAACTGTTTTTTCTTTCTGCTTCTTGTTACCTGCTTTTCCTGTTATCTATATTACTTCCTTCTTTAGGTCACTTTGAATTTACTGCTTCTTTTCAAATCAGAGAGGTTGCGATTTTCTTTTTTTTAATTCAAATTACTTTCAAAATTGGCTTATTAATCTTCATACATCTCGTAAGTCTTTAGTGAGGGCAAGTTTTAGAGTCAGTTTTCCTCTTCTTTGTTAAATATAATTCTCACTTTTCAATGGGTGTTAACAAATATTTGTGGGTAAAGACAATTTGCTTCCCTGCCATCAGTAGACATTAAGTATTCACAGTCTTAAGAAGACATATGTGTGCATACAAATATATGTATGCATATACATGCATAGGAAAACTTTACTAGCTTCTTGTACAAAATGTGGAAAAGTATTTGACCGATCAGGGTAGAAGTAAGGAAAGTATTAGTGGATAATCCTTAAATTATTTAAATTTGCCTAAAAAATGCTCACAGACAGTTTAAGATACTTACATGAAATTCTCAAAAGAATCGAAAAGATTATCAGAATTTACTGTACAGCAAACTTTCATATGTCAGACACTACCCTAAGTATGTCTGATGTATTATTTCATTTTACCCATGCAACAGTCAATCATTATTTTCATTACAGGTAAGAGTTAACAGTGGAGTTAAGCAGATCTCCCAAAGTCTGCAATTAGTAAAAGGAAGAGCTGAGGCTCAGAGCTGAAATTCAAGCCCACATGGTCTGCCTCTGGTATGCCCATTCTCAGTCACTAAATGATGTTGAGTAATTGTAATAATATCTTGTAGAAGATGCTGCAAGTAACTTAAGGCAGCAATCTTTAAACTGGTATGTGTATAAAGATACAAGAGGACTTTTCACTACGTAAAATAACTCCTGTGGTGCTGGAGAAGACTCGAGAGTCCCTTGGACTGCAAGGAGATCAAACTAGTCAATCCTAAAATCAACCCTTAATATTGATTGGAAGGACTGATGCTGAAGCTCCAATACTTTGACTACCTGATACAAAGAGCTGACTCATTGGAAAAGACCCTGATGCTGGGAAAGAATGAAGACAGGAGGAGAAGGGGATGACAGAGGACGAGATGGTTGGATGGCATCACCGACTCAATGGACATGAGTTTGAGTAAACTCCAGGAGATGGTGAAGGACAGGTAAGCCTGGTGTGCTGTAGTCTATGGGGTCGCAAAGAGTTGGACACAACTGAGTAACTGAACAACAACAACAAAAATAACTCCAAGAAAGTCATTGTCTAAATGCTCAACTTCTTCTCCTTCCACTTTATTAAGCAATGCATTTCAAGAAATTTAAGTTGTGTTTAATCATTTATTAAAACTGTAATGTATTTATGATAGTTTGATTAATTTTACACAAATAATAATTGGAATTACTGAATCCAGATGACAGTTTTTTTAATACTGAGAAGCTTACTGTCTTAGAAATTTTTTAAAAATCTATTTCTATTAATTATTTGAAATGGGTGATAGTGGCAATCAAATATTTCTGATACTTAAGTCCCATTGAATATATTTAAAGGGGTGATGTTACTGTTTTATTATGCCACATCAACATTTGTGCTGTTAAAAACTACATTCTTGGTAATTATTTGAATCTTATGATGAAAAATTATATAGGCCAACTTCTAAGTGTTTGAGGGGTACATGAGCAAAAAGGCTTCAAGACCTTAAGGGGTTAAAGTAATCACAAAACCATACCCAGAATATGTCATATTTCTATTAAAATTTGAATCTCTATGTAAAATGCTCCTTCCTGTTCTGTGACCAATTCTAATTCCTTTCCATCAAACTAACTTGCTGAATAAATGCTAAAAATGATCACAAATTAGATCAGTGGGCCAACTGTTTTCCTAAAAGTATTACATTCATTAGTACCAATTAACAAATATAACTTGAGATTCTGGAAGATGCAATAGGACTGGAAATGTTGCCCACTGGCATCATGTGAGACTATAATTGACTTGAAAATTGGTTTAAATCCTGAATCTACCTTTTATAAACTAAGTTCCTTTTTACTTTCATTGGCCAAGTAGCTTAGTGGTGAAGAATCCACCTGCCATTGCAGGAGACACAAGAGACTTGGGTTTGATCCCTGGGCCAGGAAGATCCCTTGGAGAAGGCAACAGCAATTCACTCTAGTATTCTTGCCTGGAAAATCCCATGGACAGAGGAGCCTGGTAAGCTACAGTCCATGGGGTCGCAAAAGAGTAGGACATGACTGAGCATAGCTCAGCATAGGAATAAAGGCTTAATGGCATAAAAGATGACAAAATGTGTTCTCTGTCACAAATTCCTCTCTTGGCAATATAGTTACCTTTGTATTGGAATTAAAGAAACTGCAAAATATCCTAATACAATTTATGAAATTTTTTACAGCAAAGAGAATCACAAGCAAATTGAAAAGACAATCTATGGAATGGGAGAAAATATTTGAAATGATGTGACCAATAAGGACTTAATTTCCAAAACATATGAAAAGCTCAAACAGCTCAATATAAAAAAAAAAAAAACCAAACAATAAAAAATGGGCAGAGCTAAATAAACATTTCTCCAAAAGACACACAAATGGTCAATAGGCACATGAAAAAATTCTCAACATCACTACTTAGGGAAATTGAGGATCACCTTGATATAAAAGCCAAAGGTTAGTAACCATAAAAGGGAAAATCAACAGTAACACAATAGTGGATGACTTTTTAATGACTCATTTACACCAATGGACATATCACCCGGACAGAAAATCAGTAACGAAACACTGGCTTTAAATGACGCATTAGATCAGATGGAATTAATTGATATTTTTACATCATTTCATACACAAGCAGCAGAGTACACTTCTCAAGTGCACATAGAACTTCTCTAGAATGTATCACACACTAGGCCACGAATCAAGCTGCAGTAATTTAATAAAATTGAGATTGTATCAGGAATCTTTTCTGACCACAACATTGAGATCAGAAACAAATTACAGGGAAAGATAAACTGTAAAAAACACATACATGTGGAGACTAAACAACCAACGGGTCACTGAAAATCAAAGAGGAAATAAAAAATACTTAG